GAGCATACATATAACAAAAATCGCCTCGAAAAATCGTATTAACAAGATAAAAAAAACAACACTCCACAACTATATCATTCTAATATGGCAAGACTACCAATATGGTAAAAATATTGTTCTAACACATAAATCCTTTTAATCCTTATTTTCGTACAAAATAAGTAATTTTCAAAAAAATAACAAATGTGCATCAATGCCTCTTCACTACAACTTTCCTGCCGTTCAGTGGCATAGGACTAGAAATCCATTTATGCAAGTTACCGTGATGATCGTATTGTTTGGTCAAAATCGTAAGATAAAAATTTTTCAATAGTGGATTGCCAGTGATCGGCACCCAGCCACCGTAGGAATGAGTGAAAGGGTCCCAAGGTAAACTCCATTGTCTATGTGACGTCATCTTAGGTAGATTTACTAGCACGGGCGTGGCTCCAAAACCGTATTTGACTGGACCTAATATAGTAGTGAGTGGTGCCACGGTGTTTGCTGCGGGTGGTAGCGGATGTATCGAAGGGCCGATTTTCTTGACTACCGCGTTGAAACCACTGAGACCGTCTGCTGTATAGTCAACAACTCGTAGTGCTCCATCAGGCTCTACGAGTGAATAAGAGCCTTTCACGACGTCTCCATATCTCGTCTCCCACTGTGCTTTCTTGTCGTTGGAATGGTGGTCGCTAACAGCGTAATTGTAAGAGTAGCCTGGAATGTTCTGAAAAATGCAAAGTTTGGTCACAAATCTAGTATGTTTTTAACGTTGTTCCACACGGCTTTCTTTAACTTTAGTTGTACTTAACATATGTATACGTAACTTATTTAAAAAATAGTAACACTCGTAACCCTCTCGTCAAAAACTCATCCCTCCTCCTCCGCTTGAAACTTAGGTGGAGGGTGTTCCCGAGTGACTACAATTCGATGAAACTCTGGTGCTCGATTTATAAAAAAAGACTTACAACTGTATCTGAAAGAATAGAGACGGCGCCACCTGAAGCAACAGCAATCACTGCCGCTAGCGTGCCGGCGATCTGAAAGTATGCATTAATAAATAAATTAGACTTAATTAGATTAATATATCAAATTTTAATCTTACGTGAAGTTAATACAAATCTAGTCATTGGAACTTTAACTATGTATCATTAACTTTTAAAATAGTATCAACGACTCAATGCGCCGAATAAAGTTTATTCCAATATATTGTCATAATATATTGTAATAACTTTATTCTTCATTCCTTAATTTCCATCCTAAGGAGTGTTTTCTTTTTTCTTTTTTTAAGGGTTTTCTTATATTTTTAAGGGTTTCATTTCAAAGGGTATACTTTCTATTTGGTAAGTATAGACCAAACAGGAAGTATACTCTTTCAAATAAAATAAGAATTTACCAAATCAGTTCAGATATGACGGAGTTCAGAGTTAACAAACATAAATAAAATATAGCCGTATTAAGAACTTCCTCTTTTCTCAAGTCAATTTTTTTTTTGACAATAGTAAAATGCTAATGCGCGTAAACACATATAAATCCATTTACCATTAATAAAAGATTCATTTTGTTAGTGAGCCGTAGGTATGTTGAATGTTCAGCTTTTAGACTTTACATTCCTTTTATACGCCAACGGTAACAAACACAAAGTGCTCCAACGAGTGCGCCCGGTTTTATTACAGGTTCCTTGATCATGTAACTAATATGGAACTTTTTATTTGTAGATAATGGCTAGTTTTCTTCATAATGTGGGTGTTAAAAGTGAAAACTATAGAGCTATATACCTACAATAAAAGATTAATAAAATAATTATTATTATTGAAAGTATAAGTCTCATGTAGAGACAACGGTTTACAAAGGAACCTGTAATATTACATTGTTACGTGGGTATGATTGTAAAAGGCAGTTACTTTTATATAACTTTCTTTAGCTGTTACGAGTATATCGACAATATCATATTTTTATATTTCTTCGTGATTAGACTGTATATAGTTCGTACCTACCATCTTTTAGCTCTGCATCCCCTTAAGATCGACTGGGAGAAAATGTCTACAGCATTAAATCCGCCGTTATCACTTTCGTGGATAAAGAAAAATAAAAAAATAAAATCCGAATATGAAAACAAAACCTATTTTTTTTTAACAGAATTAAAAAAGGAGAAGTTTCTATGTTCTACTGTATGTATTTTTTTTTATGTATGCTCACCGACAACTAATAGTGACCGATTTTCAAAATTATTTTTTACACATATATAAAAATATTTATAATATATTAGCTGAAATAATATTCAATCGAAATTTAAAATGTGTTATGTATTTTAGTTTCGACCTATGGCGCAAAATTTATTAGATACATTTTGCGCCATAGGTAGGATTGAATATTATTTCAGCTAATATATTATAAATATTTTTATATATTAATATTATAAAATGAATAATATTCGTTGTTGTTGGTCGTTTCCGTTATTCAATCATTCAAAGTACAGAATAAGAGGTTGGTGAAAAATCGGATTTCACGGACTCGTGAAAATCGTCATCTCCTGCGCAAATTCGGACACCTGGCATCATTGTAACAAAATAGATTACAAAAACTTTAAACAATGCAAAGGACAATGGAGAGCGTGGCTCGCGTGTCGGGCTCGACCGAGCGAAAACTTGTCATAAAGTTGTTTTTTTAACTCCGCATTCATTCCAAATTATCTTATATCTTATCTTATATTAATTATGTTATGAATTATTTTTTTAAATTCCCGATAACCGGCAGTTTCGGGTAGGAAGCTAATTAACGCCTCTATTCCACAGGGAAGTGTATTGGGGTGTCTACTCTTCCTTATATATATATAAACGATCTCCCAAAGAATATATACGAACCATGTGTTTTGTTTGCAGACGACATATCAATACTCACTTCATGCGAAAATAACTTCAATGATAAATTAAATTCTATACTTACTGCTACAACTGACTGGATGACCGAACACAATCTAGAAATTAATTTCAACAAAACAAAAATAGTTACATTCCACCCACATCAGAAAACACCAATAAACGTAAATTACACCTTCAATAACATAAACTTAGAAGTAGTAAATAAATTCACCCTATTGGGCATTGACGTAGACAGACATATTGATTGGAAATCACACATTCGAAGAATACAAGCCAAAATTTCAAAATTTACTTACGCCCTCCGAGAAATTTAAAAAGTACAGACCTTAAAACGGCACTTGCTACCTACTATTCATATGCCTACGCGTGGTTCACATACGGAATAATCCTATGGGGCAATAGTACAGATCCACCTACACTATTCACTTTACAGAAAAAACTAGTTAGAATCCTAGTAAACATAGAAGACACAGACAGTTGCCAACCTCACTTTGTCGAACTTAAAATTTTAACGTTACCCAGTATCTAAATATTGGAAACCTGTAAATTCGTTAGACAACACCCAGAGTTCTACAGCAAAAGATAGGACATACAAACCAAAATGACGCTCAGACACAAAGATAGACTTAATCTACCAGCTTCCCGACTCAGATGCACTCATACAGCCCATTTGTAATGTCCATAAAAATATACAATCAGTTACCTAAAACCATAAAACAAGAAAATAAATATAACAGTTTCACAAAAAAATTAAAACTCTTTCTTCTAAGTAAAAGCTACTACAGCATAAGAGAATATTTTGAAGATAGAATTCTAAAATAATAAAATTCATAAATTATACAATTATTATGATAAATAATAAATAAAATATTAATTCCTCTCTCCCAAACAAACTGTGCTGCGCCCGTCAGGGTCCATAATTGTCACTATATTTAAATTGATATCATCTATGTATTTACATTGTGGAAGCAATAAAGTATTGAGTATTAAGAAGCTCCATAATGTCCATGATGTTATTATAAAGAGCATGTTTAAAAAAAATTACAAGTTGTTCGAGGTCTAGTTTTGTAACGATTCGATTACATGAAATGAATGTGACTATACACCATTTTATATATTCTTTATTTATTATTTTTTGCGTTGTAATAAATCCATTTATTGGACTGGTAAATGAAATCCACATGAAATGTAAGAATTTATATTAAAGTTTATTAATAAATTACTCATAGAAGCTTTGTATTATATCTACATTTTATCACAATAAAACATGTTAGGATACTAGCATGTCATTTGGAACTAGCATAATCATGACTATACGAGTTTCAACTTTAGACACAAATTTGAAAATTCTGTGAGCAAAAATATTACTCCCATCCCATATATTATAATTTACATAAATCAATAGGCTAGTGTTCACTAATAACAAATTGCTTGCTTAATGAAGGGACATAAATAAGACAAAACCAGTCTATTTCTATTATTATTTTTATTTCTCATAAAAGTTTAAGATTATTAATACTTTTAAAAAATAAATTCGTACATAATAGGCATTTAGCCATGTGACAGCGAACACTAATCAGAAAGTGTTACGTCACGCAAAGCAAAAGATCATTGTTGTTGTTGACGTTTTCATACAACAGAGCAGGTTACTCCTTATTCATTTTTAGAAAACAGTTGACACTGGACACAGATGTAAACAGTTTTATTTCGCAGACTGTGACGTCATTTAGGACGCCATGACACTATTCAGCGTTTTCAAGGGAAAAATTATTTTAATTTTTTCATTACAAAATATGCAATATAAACATTACATTTCTTTAAAATAAAGGTTTTTTTGGGATAAAATAGATATTAAAGTATATAATTAACCAAGTTTTCAAATTGAGTCAACTAGCCTATTATTATTTATATATTATCATAAACACCACGTTACGAAATTTGAAGTAAACAACAAATATTTTCAAAATACGTACCTGTATAATTTATCTACTTAGTAATAAAGTGCGTTAGCTTCAATGTTAGATACTAATATGACTTATACATATAAATTAACGGACGTAAAGTTTAAATATCCATTTACAAAGACACATTGATTTTTACACACAATGAACTTTATACATAAAGAATTCTAAAGATTGATCAGTTTACGCCAACATAAGGCAATTTTGGTTGCAATAAGTTAGGCAAAAAATATTGACTATAATCGTTTTTGTATGTAGCATCCGAATCTTTATGGCAATTGTGACAATAGCCGTATCCTGGGAGTTCTGGTCCTAGTGGTGCTTGCAACATTGGCGAGGAAGCAGGAGCATGAGGTATTTGTGGAGGCCACTCCCCACCATAACCTGTCACTAACTGTTTATATTTGATGATAGGAAGTGGTGCAGGATATACAGTATGTCCTCTACCAGCGTAACCTAATACATCGTGTCTCAATCCACCGTATTCCAATCCAGCGTGTCCCAATCCGATGTCTCCCAATCTATCGTGTTCCAATCCAGCGTGTTCCAATGCAGGGTGACCTAATCCAGCATGACCTAATCCAGTGTATCCCAATCCAGCATGGTTAATATCAGCGACACCTAATCCAGAGTGACCTAATCCAGCGAGGCCTAATCCAGAGTGACCTAATCCAGCGAGTCCTAATCCAGAGTGGGCTAAGCCGGTGTGGCTTAATCCAAGATTTTCTATTTTAGCTTGGTGTACAGATTTTACTATTGGCGTTATTGGAGTGACCGATTTGATAGGGGAAACTGTCTTAATAGGTCCTGAAATTGGTCCCGTGACGATCGGTTTTGGGACGGTCGGTCTTGATATGAGAGGTGCGCTGGCTGTATGGTCTAGCTTATACATTGAAGCTATAGATATTGGAGCCACTGCAGATGCGTGACTCAGCATGGGAATAGGCGCTTTGTAGATCGATGCTGGTAATGTTACAGGATGAAGATTTGGACCGAGTTTCTTAACCACAGCGTTGAAACCCGATTTGTCATCCGCCCAATATTCTACTACACGTAAATTTCCGTCTGGCTCCACCAGCGAGTATGCACCTGCAAACATCACGTTTATAATATTTGAACAAAATTGATTTTACTACTTTATTATTTCTTTAACTAGATATTATTTTTTTACCTTTAACTACGTCACCGTCCCGTTTCTCCCATTGTGCTTTGTTATCTCCGGTGTACGGATCTCTCACTGCATAATTGAATGCATATCTTGGAAAGGCCTGTAACACAAAATGTAAATATTGAAACTAGTAACATATGGCACATTGAACATCTAGATTTTGTTATATCTTACATAATAATCAAGTGATGCATGACGCGGTGCGTATACAAGTCCTTCTATTCCCAATCCATTGCCATTAACGGACGCTGTGAAAGTGAGAAGGCAAGATATCTGAAAAATCCAGAATGTCAATTTCCTTTTATTAAAAATTTAAAAAAGAAAAAGAATTTTTCGCACCTACCGCTAGAATAATCATTTTATCGGAGACACACTGATTCTTGAGTCAAAAACGTACTGTTTAATAATGAGCAGTTAGGAGGCATTTATAGGCGTTTGTTTTAGACCTTCATGTCCTGTGCTGTAGCGGATATGGAATGTTCGATATCAACAATCACCAGGAGTTGCATCAGCCTTCAGGTGGTGAAAATGTTTGATAGCGTATAATGAAGAGTCGGGCGCAGGATGTGTGGCTACCTGCTTCATGTTCTAAACTTGCAAATAGTAATTGGTATTATGTATATCTGTGGTTGTGATATGTGATTACAGTGAATACATAGCTATTATATAGTGACTTATTGTTTTATGCACAGTGTCTACCGCTTTGCTCTAATTACGTGTGCGGCTGGTGCAGCAGCGGCGTTTAGTAGCCGTAAAGTATTTGTGCGATTGCATGCTCCACTGGTGATTGTCGGTCAGCTTTTATAATCAGATATTTATTATAACACTTAATTTATTTACTATTCGCGCTTGTTATATTGTTTGAATGCGGCCGTGAACTTGGTTAGTTATGACCGTATCCAAGTGATCATCGAAGATCTTTTTCGCACTTTTTATACGACGAGTAGTGAGTATTTTATAGCAATAAAACTACACCACATACTCAGAACGTAGGTATTTAATGAATATTGTCGTGGCTACTTATATATTCTATGGTAACAAAACGATAGCGCGACTTTAAAAATCAACGTCAACGCCATCTATCGAGACATGAGGTAAACTTTGCGTACAAAATTGACTTAATGTTTAGGTTTGATTTCTAAAATACTATGACGTGAACATTCCGCCCACCAAGGACCTAGTCCTTTCAAGCCGCCCACCATGGCAAAATCTAGCGTAAATATACGAACAACTTTAGTGTTAAACTAAAATCCTTGGTGTTCGGAGATCATAGTGTTCATTTTGTAAATAACATTAAGACATAAAAAAAAATGTAAACATAAAATACACAAAAAGCGGTTTAGGTTTACCAAAAATCAAACTAGTTACTCTAATTAATTTTATATTTTTAAACGTAGTATCAGAGTGGACTTTATATAAAATAACGAAATAACATATAAAAGAATGAAATAACGAATTAAAATACAAAACAATAAAATTACGCGTTTGTCAGTCATCGTTGACAGGCAAAACACACAGCTTAGAAGTTGGGCGTTGGACTCGGGAACCCTTACACTGAAGGGTTACTACACGTACTAAGTTATCCTTGCCAGGGTGTAGTTTAATTACCTTCCCATATAACCACTTGGCAGGTGGTAAATTGTCTTCCTTTATGAGGACAACATCTCCAACTCTCGGATCTCGCATCCGTTTAGCCCACTTATGTCGTTGAAAAAATATAGTTAAATATTCCTGAGACCAACGTTTCCAGAAAGTTTGAATCATTCTTTGTGTCAATTGCCAACGTCTCAGGCTACCCACTGCTGCATGTTCATAATCATAATCTGGTGCTATTACCAGTGGCTGACCGACCAAGAAATGTCCTGGTGTCAATGGGTTGGGATCTGACGAGTTCTCACTAGACTGTGAAATGGGCCTAGAGTTCAGACAAGCTTCGATTTGGGATAGGACGGTACTCAGCTCCTCAAAAGTCAGCGTCGATTCGCCGATCACCCTTTTGAGGTGATGTTTTGTACTTTTGATCCCAGCTTCCCATAGACCTCCAAAATTCGGAGAATAAGGTGGGATGAAATGCCACTCGGTTCCATTATTAGCCAATATAGAGGCAATTTCTTGAGGGAGAGAAGCGCTCTCATCGCGAAACATTGCCCTAAGCTCTTTTGACGCCCCCACAAAGTTCGTGCCATTATCGCTGTATAGGTGACTACAGTGACCCCGTCTAGCCACAAAACGTTTAAATGTAGCGAGAAAGCCTTGAGAGGTCAGATCTGAGACTGCATCTATATGCACAGCTCGGGTTGCCATGCATACGAACAGACATATGTAGCCTTTGTAAGATTTATGTCCACGACCCCTTGCTGTTCTTATTTGAATCGGTCCCGCGTAGTCGACACCTGAATGGAGAAACGGCTTACTTGGAGTCACTCTGCATGATGGCAGCTGACCCATTAATTGGTTGTTTGGTTTGGCTGCGTGACGGATACACGGTACGCAGTCGCGGATATGAGCCTTAATCAAATTCTTGGCTCGAACAATCCAATATTTTGAGCGAAGAAAATTAAGTGTTAATTGTGGCCCGCCATGTAAAACACGCTCATGAGCATCCGCTATGAGTAATTTTGTCAAATGGGACTGATGAGGAACTATGATGGGATGCTTCCTATCATCACTTAGTTGTGCATTTTGGATTCTACCCCCTACTCGCATCAAGTCCTTATCATCCAAGTAAGGATTCAAAGAAGCTAAGCCGCTGCCCTTTCTGAAGTCTCTTCCGGTTTTGATTGCTTTTATTTCTGTCTCAAACTAAACCCTTTGACTCTGCCTGAGACAGCAATGCATGGTTTCCGTAATCTCAGAAGCTGTAAGGTAGTATGGTAACTTGGACCGTGATTCTCTGGATATCTTGAATTTTAAGAATCGTCTGCAATAGGTCAGAGTCCTGATCAATCTGCGGAACGATGAAAATCGAGACCACATTAGTTCAATCGGGTGGTCCTCTATCTGTGCTGCATGAACCCGGGACGATTTTAGTTCCAGTTTAGTCATTATAGCCTTAGGTCTGCAATATTCTATGGTATCAGCAAGCAACCACGATGGTCCATGTTTCCAAAGCGAGTCGTCTAACAAAGATGTTGGTGTTGCACCTCTCGAAGCAATGTCAGCGGGATTGCTTTTTGTATCGACATAATGACATTGAGTGGCATCAAGGGCATTAAGAATTTCAGACGTCCGGTTTGCGACGAACGTTTTCCATCGACTCGGATGATCGCTCAACCAAGCCAACACGACTGTAGAATCTGTCCAAGCATGTATGTCGGCCTTTTGGATATTCAAAACATGAGCCACTTCCAAAAGCAATTTGATAACTAAAACCGCGCCACATAGCTCCAGTCGTGGTATAGAAATTTGTTTAATTGAAGCCACCTTCGTTTTTGCAGTCACCAGATTACAGTGGACCCGACCTACAGCATCGATGACTCTGATATAAACAGCCGCGGCGTATGCTACGCTAGATGCATCAGAGAATCCATGAAGTTCAACAGTTCGATCATCGCTTTTTCTTTTCAGCCACCTTGGAATTCGAAAGTTGTTAAGTGTTTGCAACCCACTACGGTAAGACTGCCACTCTGTCAGCAGATCTTCTGATAGTTCTTCATCCCAATTCAGACCAGCGATCCATAGTTTTTGGATGAAGATTTTAGCGGTAATTATACAAGGTGCAATCCAACCTAGCGGATCATATAAACGGGATATCTCTGATATAACTGTTCTTTTAGTTTCAGATGCAGACGGCGGCAACGGCGACGATATTGAAAATGGTAAGTTTACAGTATAATGGAACTCGTCGGAATTGCGGTTCCAGGTAAGTCCTAGAATTCTAGTGGTTTCATCTTCTTTTATTTCCAGATCTCTTCCAGTATCCAGCCTTATCTGATTTAGCAACTCTTCTCGGTTACTTGTCCATTTTTGTAAACTGAAACCTGTTTTTTTTAAAAGTGCATTAAACTCATAATAGATTTTTACAGCTTCTTCCTCAGTCTGACAACCTGTCATTAGGTCATCCATATAAAAATCTGTCCTAACCCTACTAGCAGCGCATGGATACGATTGACCTTCATCACTGGCAGTTTGCTGCAATGCCTTGACTGCTAGGTAAGGAGCACTAGAGGTGCCAAATGTAACTCTCAAAAGCCTGTATTCCTTTATATCGGAATGAACGTCATCCCGCCACAAAATCCTTTGGAAGTCCACGTGATCATCAGCTACCTTTACTTGGCGATACATTTTCACGATATCGGCTGCCAAGCATATTGGATGTTGTCGCCATCGCATAACTGTATGACGTAAATCAGCCTGTAAAAGTGGTCCTACCATTAAGGTGTCATTTAAGGAAACTCCGTCGGAATCCTTGGATGACGCATCAAATACCACTCTCAATTTAGTGGTAGACTTGTCTTCGCGAATCACAGCATGATGCGGTAAGTAAACAGCGTCAACTTTATTTTTGTCCTTTTCATTATAAATCTCTTCCATATGACCTAGTGATAAATACTCCTTTATTACCGAAGTATATTGTCCTTTTAACTCGCTATTCTTTGCTAGTTTCCTCTCAAGACTATGGAATCTTTTTAACGCTATTTCTTTTGTGTTGCGGGGTGTTTTACTGGAACGAAAAGGCAGTTTTACGATGTAGCGTCCATCTGCATCTCTGCATGTGGTAGCAGCAAAGTAATCTTCACATGCTTGCTCTTCAGGGCTAAGAAATGACTTTTCAGAGCATGTTGGCTCTGCCTCTATTTCCCAAAACCTTTTTAGGATTGCGTTTTCTTCGACCTTAGTGTGCATGCTTAGAATTAGATTATGACAAGCCGTCTCTCCATCTTTATTGCTGACCTCTCCTGATATGATCCAGCCAAGGTAAGTATCTTGAGCCATTGTTCTACCCTGGGGGTCCTTGAGTAAGCCTTCTTTAAGGATCTTGGCATAGACTCCCGATCCTAACAAAATATCAATTTTGTTAGGTTTATTGAAATTTGGATCAGCCAAATTAATGCTACTAAGCTCTGGCCAATCCACCAATGTAAATTTCCTTTCAGGTAATATTGAAGTCACCTTACTCAGCACATAAGCCTTAAATTGAAAGGTAAAGTCAGGATCCCGTAACGATTGAATGTTTACATTAACCATAAATTTCGATGTTAAATCATTCTGACTCCCACCTACACCTGAGATAGATGTTTTAACCGCTATCTTTCTTAACTTTAATAACTGTACAGCCGATTCTGTAATAAAAGAAGCTTGAGAACCCTGGTCTAACAGGGCTCTCAAAACTTGTGTATGCCCATTTCTCGATCTAGCCTTAATAAGGGCTGTAGCCAGTATGACCTGACTATGAATATTTTTAGCAAAATGGGTTGTAATATGCGGTCCAATAGTGGCCTCGTTCTGTGGTGTTTCATTTTGCATTGGAGATGCGTAAGAGCTTGGCTCCGCGACAGAGTCCGGTTTTAGATGCAAGAGTGTATGATGCTTTCTACTGCAAATTTTGCATTTAGTATTTACTCGACAATTAACAATAAGATGGCTTGAGCGAAGACAATTAAAACACAAACCATGAGATTTAACTATATGACGACGCTTTTCGACGGTCTCCTGAGCGAACTTTTTACAATAACACAAAAGGTGCTCCTCGGAACAATGAGGACAGGATATTTTTGAAACCACGTGAAACGCTTTAGTACTGCTTTTAGACTTACTACTTTGAGGTTCTACAAATTCAAAAGCCCGAAAACGTTTATTCCAAAAAATCTCGAAAATCCTTGAAGGTGGGAAGTTCCTCACAAGATTGACTCACCTGCAATTCCCACTGTTTCCGAGTCTCAACGTCCAACTTGGAGCTTATTAAATAAATAATAATGATATCCCAAGCGTCTACCTTCACCCCTAGATTTGCTAATTCGTGTAAACAATCGGTTGTAGTATCTAAAAGCTCCTTGAGCGCAACAGATGACTCAGCCGTCATTTGTTTTGGTTTAGTAAACGCTTGAGAATACAATTGGCTAAAAATCTTTTGTTATTGTAACGACTGCTTAACAGCGTCCAACATTTTTTTATAATTTGCATGCGTGATCGGTATGTGCTTAATGAGCTGTGATGGCTCTCCCGACAGCTGAGATCTTAAATAGTGTAAGCGTTGTACATCATCCAGAGCTTGATTACTATCGATTAGTGATAAAAACAAATCCCTAAACGTTGACCATTCCTGATATTTACCACTAAAAATCGGGATTGTTATTTTGGTAATTTAGCAATTGACACTATTCTCGGTTGTGCATGGCCTGATGAGGCATCATCACTCATTTTACAAGACTGAGATTTTGGTAAAGCATTTTTTAATTCAACTTTATAATTTATAAAAGTGTCGGTGACTGCCTCAAACACATCATTTTTGATGTAACTAGTTGCATTCAACTCACTCTCTGTATAGTTAACCAAAAGCTCTTCATGTTTTCTTGTGAATTCTTCATACTGTTTGTCTAATATTTCCAAACGTGAGTCTACATATGCCTGATTAATTCTGTCTTTGGTGACTTTTTGAAGTTAATAAGCCCCTTCTGGATACGACTTTTAATATCTTCCAACACCCTTAACTTAGCCTCCATGATTCCTATTACAATTACTTCAGTGTAATAAGCCAATAATTTTATGTGCCTAATTTGCTAAGTGTCACCGTGGTTAAATTTTACTAAGTGTTTGAATGTCGTAAATTTTCTAAGTGTTTGAACTGCGCTTTAATTCTAAGCGAAATCGGGCATAGATTCGGGGTCTCTTCACTTTTTTGCAAATTATTCTAAGTCCCAAGTTTCTTCAAATTTTTCTAAGTCCATGCATTAACTTTAAACTCTCTAACACTTGGAACTGTTAATAAAGTAAATGTACTTACAGTTTTTAAGTTGCACTTATCACTTTAAAATCACTTTCCTTTAACACTCCACTTGGCACCGTCAACCTTGCTCCGCTCAGCTCCGTCGATCACGCTTCGTTGGCTCCACTCAGCTTGGGTCAGCTTCGAACTTGCACCAATTCGACTAACTATCTGCTACTTAAACTCTCAACTACTCCACTAGAGGGCGCTTTTAGCTTTTTCAAAAAACGTTCCGGATCGTAGGACCTTATGATCATCGAAGATCTTTTTCGCCCTTTTTATACGACGAGTAGGGAGTATTTTATAGCAATAAAACCACACCACATACTCAGAACGTAGGTATTTAATGAATATTATCGTGGCTACTTATATATTCTATGGTAACAAAACGATAGCGCGACTTTAAAATCAACGTCAACGCCATCTATCGAGACATGAGGTAAACTTTGCGTACAAAATTGACTTAATGTTTAGGTTTGATTTCTAAAATACTACGACGTGAACACCAAGTTTATTGTACTTTATTGCGGTAAATTATTGTTGTTTTGAATACCAAAATTACTTCAAGTATGTATTTATTAAGAATAAAGTAACGTAAAGATTGGTGAATGCTTATAGTAAGTTATGTTAATGTATTTTATGTGTGGGTCTCCTAGAAAGTAACCTTTTACTACCAATCTAATATTTTTGTTTTTACAATATAACATAATAAATAACACTGGCTCCGGTAAAAGGGAATAAAATAAAGGAAGGGTAAACTGTAATTCTAAAACCTAAGATTGGTTTGAGGATTGGGGTATCGAGTATGCGACGCTAACCCCGAGCTTACACTCCCCAATTCATTTGTATAAACAATGTTAAAAATGTTGCTCTGCTTAGTTTGAAACTAGATGGCGTTGTGTGTCAGATGTCCAAAAATATTATTATTTATCTACATCTACATCCTACATTATTTATCTTCCCTTCTTACCTCCCTTCGCCTTTATGGTATTCCTAATCCTAAAGTACCCTTAAAGGTCTTACCCCTATTACGTAAGGAGGACTTTCATTATAGTTAGCGAAATATCGCGTTTAAATCGCCTCTTTCTGCATCTTCAGGTTTATAGACATGAGTTTATGTATGCAGGGGCTTCTTTTGTGGGTCGCAAGCAGGATAACCTCCCAGGGTCTCGCTCATACAGGGGCATCGCACGCTCGCTCATCCACCCAAGTACAAAAAAGTTTATTTGAATTTCTCGCATTACGCCTCGCATTAGAAAACGAACGTCACGATACTTGCGCTCGGTTTACGTTCGGGGATTCTCCGTGTTTCATTGCGCCTGTTATTTTGTAGACTTTCAGTGTCAATTGTCGTCGGCTTTAGCTTTTATGTTCGAGCAGCAATATGTGTACCTTTGCATTTTTTTACAAATATTACAAAGATTACATCAAACTAATTCCACAAAGACAAGGGTATCGCAATGATCTACCTGCCAGGTTTCTTACAGTGGCTAAGGGCGCCGCTATATCTATGTATGTCATCTTAAAACTTTAATAGGTCTTAGTGTGGTCTGAACTACTGAAAAGAGTTATAGTTTTCCTTGTGTAAAACATTTTCTCATCACAAATGTGTACTACCCTGAACAATGATCAAAGTATTGGTTAAATGCAGTGTTGTCTGTTTATACAGATTTAATTAAATGCAATTTGTAAATATTCATGAGATTATGTTAAATGAATGTTCCGTATCCATTTCCACCGATTAGGGCCCTATTATTTACAACCGTTATTGTTACGTAATAGAAAAAACGTGTTTCTAATTATCATTATTTCAACTTTTTGCTTTAAACTTTTAAACCTTGAATTGACTTCAAGGGTTAAATGTTCAAGCACAAACCAGTAACTTACAAACCGAAAATTAGAGGAAAAATTGACAACAAGATGCCATAACAATAACACTAGTTTACAAAATTGAACTTTTTTTTTATACCCCAAAATAAATGTATATAAATATGTTAATCTACCTTCCTTAAATCTAAAAGTGTTAGCAAAAATATTTTATCACGTCACAATTTCTTCCTGCAGTCAAATGTTTATTTTTTAACTACCTAACGTGGTGACTACAGTTTATTGTTTATTCGTTCGCTTCAAACGACAATTATCTTGTTTCGGATTGATTTAAAATGTCGAGTAGAAAGTGTAAACAAAGTTCTGATCGTTTTTGTTATGTTTGTGGACAGTTTATATTTTCAAAAAAGAGAAGACCCATTGTAGATTCGTTAAAAAGTGCATATCTTCATTATTTTGGATTTCCCGTTGCAAATCAAGATAAAAAGTGGGTTCCTCATGTGTTTTGCGAAAGCTGTAGAATCGTCTTACTCCAGTGGTCATCAGGAGAAAACGTTCACCTTCCATTTGGTTCACCAATGCTATGGAGAGAACCTAGTAATCATGAAAAACAAAAACATCATTATGTAAGAAAAGAATGGCCTATTCGGAATGAGTATATTCCGGGCAAAATGAACATTAAACACGAGCTGTTGGTAGATCCCAATAACGTCACTCTACCCCCTTTACACATCAAATTGGGGCTCATGAAAAATTTTGTGAAGGCGCTTGACAAAAACAGTGATGCTTTCCGGTATTTACAAAAAATCTTTCCAAACATTACAGAAGGAAAACTGAAAGAGGGTATATTTGTTGGCCCACAAATCCGTAAAATTATGAAAGATTCTCAGTTTGAAAGCCTTTTATCTGTAATGAAAAATCTGCTTGGAAGTCATTCAAAATGGTTGTGGAAAATTTTTTGGGAAGCAAAAAAAGTGAAAACTACAAAGAAATTGTTACCGATTTATTGGAAAATTTTCAAAAGATGGGGGTAAACATATCATTAAAGATTCATTTTCTGCACTCGCATCTAAGTTTTTTCCCTGAAAACTTAGGAAGTATGAGTGACGAACAAGGGGAACGTTTTCACCAAGATTTAAAGGTTTTTGAAGAACGACATCAAGGATTTTGGGATGAAAACATGTTAGGAGATTACTGTTGGTCCATTATAAGAGAAACTGATTCAAATAGCTATAAAAAGAAGGCAAAAATTAGTCATTTTTAATTTTTTTTTAGTATTAATACCAAAATTATGTATTTCAGTTAAGTTAATAAATATTTCTTAAACCAGACGTGACCGAATTTTTTTATTATTTTTTTGAGATAATTCTACCTAAATGAATAACAAAATAACAACTTTCAGCTGGGGTATGAAAACCGTGTAAACTAGTGTAATTGTTGCTCTCTAATCGTTGATGTTTTGTGTTTTCAGTGAAAATTTCCTATTTAATTTTTAAACATTTTATTATTAATGTATTGTTTACTACATATTATAGGTATGTAGACGTTGTCGATGTTGTTTTTTTTTAATTAAAGCATCCGTTCAATACGAAAAATTAGAATGTTTATAACTCAAGATAATAAAATTTAAAAAGAAAAACCGGTGAGCTAGGACCTCAGTGGTTTTTTTAAAAAGTAAATAATATTTTCCAAGTTTAAACTGACGCAATATTATTAGGAAAAGCCAAGTAAACTAATTTCTGAAATTTCATTCATTCATTGTTAAAGCCGTTTTCCCCTTTATCTTTATATATATATGTATATATGTATATACAGAAATATATATGTATACATATATAAAGTTAAGAGTCCATATTCTCTTTATCCACAGGCATACAGCTGTCTTCCTGCCACAGTCTTAGCCTCTTGTGTAGAAAGCGTGTGGTCTAGCGGCAGCGTCGGAGGCTCCCAGACTCAGCTGTCGCGAGCTCTATGGCTCTGGTGTGGAGCTTTAGGAGCCCGCGTATGGTTGCCACTCTTACCAAGAGATGCAACACGACATCCCGATTCTGGCCGACATACCTTCATGGCTAAAAGAATAATGTTGCCCTTCCATCTGAATATTTATCCCTTGAGTAAGTAGTCCTAATGTATTCCAGCATGAGAAAAAAATCTTTAATAGAATTTGCTGTATAGTTACAGTTACAGTAAACGGACCAAAGTTCAATATAGACGTGAGGAGTCCAGATATCTTTTCTTTTTGAGGTTCGTGCTTACAAATACTCTTACCGGTTAACCATAGTCGCTTCGAGGACTAATTTTTTTATGAGATATTGCTGCTTCCGTCTAATTTTCAGCTAAAGGTTTTTTACCTTCTTATTACAATGCTGTTTTATTTTGAAAGTATATGATTTAACGTAAAAGTCGTTATTTAGACTCGTTTGTTAATCCTTAACCAACCTGATTAGCTCCTGATTGAAAGGTTTTTCTTAAAGTAATTATTTCAGCAACGAACTTAGGTATAACTCCTGAGTTGCAGTTTATGGGCGACGGTAGTCACTTATGAGCAGGTGAAGTTTGCCTCCAATATAATAAGATATTGTTAAAAATAATAGAGAACAATTAAATGATTAATCGGATTGATTTATTGATTCTTAACGTATTTATAATAGTTATAGTCCGATCTCAATATATTGATTTAGTATGATGACCACTTTTTTATTTTGTTTACAGCGATACTGTTCGACGACGCTATCCTACTGGGTGCCGAAAATGACACGACGCTTTACGCGTCCGATTCAAATTCGGTTTTCTCCTTGCCGTTTTGTGTCGTCAACAGAACTGTGAGTTGGTTTTTCTAGTTGACAGTTAATTAATTATGATCTGTAAGTACTATCGTCTCGAATGTCGATAGTTTTGTATGAGTTGTTTGATTTTGTTGTCCAGCATAACTCGGACTGTCATTGTATATATAGACTGTACCATCATAGCTCAAAGTATATACTTGATCCCTGTGACTTAATATAGCTATTATAATAATGTTTAATTGTATGGCTTATATTGCAATAATATTATCTATACAAATAACAAAATAAAGTGTCTGTTTGTAATGTCAAAGTAATAGGTATTTTCCATGCTTACACCGTTATTTGCACGATGCCTATGCCTAAAAACCAGTTTAAATATTTTTTGTCTGTCTGTTTGTTCCGGCTAATCTTCAAAACGGCTGAACCGATTTTGATAATATTTTACTACCAAGTAGCTAAGTCTATATAAGAAGTAACTTAGGCTATTTTTTCTCTTAGAAAAACCCTAAAATATTTTGTCTGTTTCGGGAATCGAACTCACTAAGGCAGCGCTTTTCAAATTTCCATACCAGCTAGTTACGTATAAAATTAAAAAAAACAGTCCTTAGGTAATTGAATTTAGTCGTAGGATAGGTACGCTCGTCTTGTTAAGGTACAGTTCTTACAGAAACAGTACTCTAGTTCAGACCACTGCTAATATTCTTTAATATATATTAGCTCCAAATATAAAGTAATTGCAATAGAAAGAAGATGGCAGAATTGTCTACGTATCAATACAGATTATTACGGCTATAATGCAAATTTAAAAACATTTGTAAACAAGATATAGATTTCAATGGGTTATTTCTTTTTCTCAGAGTCAAGTGTACCTTCACCAAATTCTCCGTCAGTTACTCAGACGAAATCTGGGCTACCACGCGTGGGAGATAGCACGCTCGTGCGCCCAGTTGGCATACTTCCCTCATTCATTAGAACTACTACTGCACGAGGTGTTGGAAGAAGAGGCGACGAGCAAGGAACCTATACCTGACGCGCAACTACCTTCTATTATCGAGTTTGTACACGAGTTTCCAGTGTATTTGCAGGTTAGTTAAGATTTTTTGCCTTTTTCTCTACATGGTGTTAAAACAGTAAAACAAGGCAGTGTCACACAATACATATTCATTAAAGAAAATAACAAATGAAGATAGTATGTATATACATATTTGGAAAATAAAAAACGTATGACCAAGACCACCCTGATCATGGTCCTTTTATTAATATTAAATTTTCTTTTATAGACAGTAGTGCAATGTGCAAGGAAAACAGAGATAGCACTATGGGCGTACCTCTTCTCTGCAGCTGGCAAACCAAAAGAACTCTTCCAAGAATGCTTGCAACGTAAAATGCTGGACACAGCTGCTTCATACCTTATAATATTACAGGTATTTTATATAATTCACCAGACATAACTATATCAGGCGTAATGTGTCATTAAAAGACCTATTTACATACTATACTTATATTTTACTTTCAGCTATTAAAGGTACATTAAATTGTTATTGCACGGTTCTTAGATCAACACATATGTAGATATATTGTAGATGATGTAGCTTCGCTCTGGATTCTCTGTCGCATGTATTATGAGGAGTGCTCCAGGGAATCGTTCTGACTTATAAAACGGCCGCTGCTTTCCGCTATCGTTCAACGCGAATAGCCATCGTCATGACTTAAAATTAATTTGCAGGTGGTCATGAACGGTACCAGGGATTTCATTGTACGAGGGATTTCCTTTCTAGGGTACAACTGGTTCACTGGCAACTAATACCCGAGACGCCGTGCGGTTTTTGGTCGGTTCGAGTCCGACGTAACCAAGGGGATTTTCGCACAGAAATAAAATAAAGGTGGTCATGGGCGATGGTAATAAGTTACCATGAGATGACCCGTTTATTTGTCTGCTCTCAATACCATGAAAGACTAGAAAAATAGATACATGGAGACTAATTTTTTACTTTCTAAATAGATATCTTAGATTAGATACTGGACAACAACAAAACATCCCGTAATTACTATTTCTAGAACTACAACTAATTTTCACTTATAACATAGACTTGGTCGTAGTATTTTTCTATAAATTATTTAAATATTAGTTGGGTTACGATATGGGATACATTACTAATAAAACTCGTACGCTGGAAAGAGGCTAAAAATATTTTTGAGTTTTATATGAGTGATAAAAAAAACTAGTGTAATTGCTTCCATCATCTAACTTTAATGAATGCTCATCTAGCATAAAACATTGTCAAAAAAATTTAATGATTATTTAAGTTAAAACTGGTATTATTCTTAAAAGTAAAATATTTCATTAAAGGTAAATAGTTTAATTAAGACGTCGAGGGATGTTTTTCCTACAAATTGATACAGAACGCACTGTTTTGACATTTAGTAGTGGGGATTCTGATTCTACTTGACAGTTAATCTAAGTTGCTGTCCAATTCTTGTTGGAAAATAAAACACAGTATGCAAAAGTATTTGTAACAGCAACTTATGTTTATAACGATAGAACTTGGAAAGTTCAACGGTCAGCAGGCAGCTAGCGACACAACTACTCGACACGGCGTTACAACAAGAGCGGTGGGACCTCGCCAGGGATTTAGTCCGGTTCCTTCGAGCTATAGGTAACTTTCATCATCATGATTCACGTTCATGACTTGTCTTTATTTCCTGTTGCTTTTAATTCTAGTCAAAGATTCTAATACTATTTTACCTATATTATATTAGATCATCATCATCACAACAGGCTTTAGTAGTCCACTGTTGTACATAAGCCTGTCCTTAAGAGGTTTTGGCCTACCATACCACGCTAACTAACCGGTGTGGGTGGCGGCTCTGACCGCCCCGAATAGGGCGCGCCTCTGACGCCCCCAGAGGATATTGGCGGTCAGAGCCATACGCGGATACCGCACGGTGTCTACCGAGGCGGCTTGCGCCTTGGCCGGAACACCCCCGTGGGATTTGGAGGCGGAGGTGCTCGCCGAAGTTTATCGGCGAGTGGCTGACTTCCGGGCGGAGAGCGGATTTCGCCCTCCGCCCGAAGACGTGCGCGAGTGGCCCCAGGTGCGCGTGGTCGTTCCGGCTGGAGACTACACGCGCTGGCTTCGCCGCCGTGGAGGCTCTCCAGCCGGTCATCGCCGAGTGGGCAGGGCGGCAGCACGGGACCCTTTCCTTCCGGCTGACGCAGGTACTTTCCGGGCACGGTTGCTTCGGAAAGTACCTGTACTCGGTCGCTAGGAGGGAATCGAGTCCCGCCTACCACCACTCCACCATGAGGATTCGGCCCAGCACACGCTGGCGGTTTGCCCGCATGGGCGACGCAGCGCCGGGCCCTCACTGCAGTCATCAGAGCAGATCTCTCGCTGCTGGCCGTAATTCGCTCCATGGCCGGTAGCGACAGTTGTTTTACGGCGGTCGCAACCTTCTGCGAGGAGGTAATCTCGCAGAAGGAGGCGGCGGAGAAGGCCCGGGAGGACGACCTCCACTCGGACCTGATCCGCCGCCGGCGAACCGGGCGGCGGAGGCGCGCTCACCTGCGCCTCATGCCGCCCTAAGTGTGGCCGCGGGTGGACGGGATGGGTTCTCCCCTCCACCCGCATTAGTTCGCCAGTCGCGAGGGGGCGGCGTCCGCGTGTGCCGGACGCCGCCTAAAGAGAGGTCCTTGAGACGGAGCCCGCGCCAGGAGCGGGCCGGCTGCGAGGGGTCCAAAAGGCGATAACTACCTGGACCCCTCCTAAACTGGAAGCGCAAAGAGGGCACACCGTGTGGTTTTAGTCGGTTCGAGTCCGACACACCGCCCCGCCGAACGAGAGCCCCGGCGGGGTGACTGTCCGAGGGGATTTCCACACATAAAAAAAAAGGGTTTGTTTCAAGTTTTCCTTCTCTTTGCAGTGCTGTTGTCCTGCGTAGTTTGCTCCCTTAGTCGGCTCTTATGACTCCCACGAGATGAATTGGGGTCTTAATCCGTCACCACACGGACATTACATATCATATTTACCTTTACATAAAATTGCATTAACTAAATAAGTAAAATTGAAAATTTAACAATAGAAGAGCCATGTTTCGGCACATACGGGTCTGCTCGACACAGAAAACCAGCGTTGAACAATTCTTTTGTCGCTTTACACCAAGTGGTTAGGGTACCGGAGGCCCAAACCCCTTCCCCCAATTCTGGGGGGAAAGCTTAAGGGGCGGCAACGCTTTTGTCGCACGAGTCCATGGACAGACGTAGACACTTATCATCAGGTTATCGTTCTGCTCTTTGCCCTTTCTCTTTTTTAATTATGATAATAATTAATTAAAAGAAAATAAAACCATAAGATATATTTTTTAGATCCAAACGACGTCGATTCACCACGCAACTCGGTAAATGTTCAAGCGAAGTACGGACAAGTAGTGCAGTCGCAGACCGTTAGTCCTAATGCTGAGGATTTGAGTGTTATACTTGGGAACATGCAGGTAACAACTAAAAGTAGTATTGCTTTTGAAATGTAGCCCCTTACTCTCAAAGAGAGCCTAGCCTCACTTAAGTAAAAAACGTAATTAGTTAATCGTTTTAAACGTGACTGTAGTATATCAAAGTTAAAAAAGGTTTTACTTAGGGTTAAAATATAAATAGTTTTGCCTAGGATTTAAAAATAAACTACATTTAAAATATCATTACCTAAATGATAAGTTAAATAAAAAATTGTAACTTTCATAATTATAAAAGCGGTAATCACTAAAACTTATATCAAGCGTAAAGTATTTCTTCACTATAGTATGTGATAAATATTTCCACTAATGTTTCGTACAGATGGCCGGCGGTCGCGGCCGCAGTTTCAGCACCACTGTGTCCCCCCGAGAGCCGTCGCCCTCCGCCCACTCTACAGCGCCCCCGCTACCCGCGCCTGCCCCTCACCCACCCCCCGCAAGGGCCACTGCAACCGTTAAACGAAAAAAGTCTGTACCCGCTAGGGCTGATAGGTAACTTAAATTTTAGTTTAACATCTGCTAACATTTAACAAATTTTATTTATACAGGTGTCATTCACGACTGGTTATGGAGTGACGGTGCAGGTGATCAGGATATAAAGCAGTTGTCGTACTTGTATTGTATCCTGATCTCCTACTCTGACACTCCTACTGCATCCGGGAGGTCATCAAAATATTAATAATAATAATAATAATCATCATCAAAATATTATTACTGAACTTATTCTGTTTTTATTAAGACTTTGTTTATGTTTACTTTTTTTTTAAATAAAGTGTTTTTTCACAAAGACATTGTTATTTAAAAGTTTCTTTGTCGCCGGTTATACAGAGGGTAAGAATTTCAAATGTACATGTATTGGTTCACTTTATGCAATGTATTGTAATGTATGTAAATTGTATGTGTGTTGTATGTAAGGATTATTAATAGAATTCTAAGTTGCACTTTAAGATAAAGTTGTATAAGACTGCTAAGTACTAAAAAAGTTGCTCTACAATAGCAAATATTATTCTTTTATCCGTGTGGTGACGGATTAAGAATACAGAGTGTCACCACCCCTATTCGACCCGTGGGTGTCGTAAGAGCCGACTAAGGGAGAAAACTACTCAGAACAACCGCACTGTAGAGAGAAGGAAAACTTAACACAAACCCTATACCAACTCGTCTGGCCAGCGTGGTATAGTAGGCCAAAACCTCTTTTCTAAGGAGAGGCTTATGTCTAACAGTGGACTATTAGAGGCTGTTGATGATTCATTTATCAACTAGTTATTTTTATGAAGGTATAAGTAAAGTGCAAGTACTGTAGATTCAAAGATATCACTCATAAAATTATCTTTTAAAAAGCGTTTGTCAGACTTCCGCCTAGAATTTTTGAAGAATGTCCTTTATTTCTTTATAATCAGATCCTGGAAAATCTGCCCTTTCAAGAAAAAACTAGCGTTTTCTATTTTGGTCCAGCCAAAGACGAAGTTACAACCTCCTCTTTATTTATGACCATAGCCGTTTTTATTTTTCAAATTTCGACTTACCTATATGCTATTTAAAGAAAATATTTCTTGTGTTTTTATACTGGTGTTTAATTTCTGATACAACAGGGCGCTGATGTGTGTTCTTCACTGTGATAAGTATCGATTATATTATACTCCGATCAGGAATTTGCAACTAACTGCGGTGTGACGGTCCGGGGGATCAGGACACAAAGTATTGAATCTATATCTTGTATCCTGATCTCCTACACTGACGCGCCTCTAGCACCTGGAGTTCCACAAGGCACTTAGCTTCGACTAACGCTATTTAATTCACGATGGTTTTGTGCTCCCGACTGTTAATTTTTAATTTTATAAATATGACTGTATTTGTAAAATATTATTTTGTCAGATTATAATTATGTTTACAGTAACTTTCTTCACGTCAGATCTATTTCTTTTAAATTCAGGAACCACTACTTCAAAGTTGTAATCACGATAAACCAAAACAATCAATTGTTTTAATTTTTCACACGATTAAAACTAAACTAATCGTTACTTAAACGAATTACATTAGTTTTAGTTTTCAATCGTCAACTAAACAAAATTTTTGCCAACACTGTCGACCATAAATTAATCACCATTCTCTTCATCGTAGCACCTGTTTCCGTTTATCACGTATCAACTAACTAACATCTACATTATCCCTTCCTCTACCTTACACGTCCTTAACTTTGTCCTTGATTACATGCCATCTCAATTTCTGTTCACACCACATTCCATTGTCTCCGGACACATGAGAAAATAATATTATTACTTGAATGACCAGGGACTCGTACAGCGGCACCGCTGAAGAATTCTTCATCGACATGATGATACAGCGCCATGCTCGTCTTTTACTATCCACGGCCAGGCTGTACGCGCTAGGCAAAATGGCCGCCGCCTTAGACGTGCACCTCGTGGCGTGGCTAGCGGGGGAAAGAGAAAGAGCAGCTAGGATAGATTGCGCGGTACTCTGTGTGAAGAAACTGCACGAAGACTTCGCGTGGCCGTATCCTGTTGTTAATGATGCCGAACACTATCTTCAGAGAAAAGGCAGCACTGTAACCAGTAAGTGACTTTATTGTTGCACAGTATGTGATTGTTTGTTAGATAGTAATGACTCAAATCAGTTAGAATTTTCTCATACAGAATTTATTCACTTTAAAGAATTGAAGTATGATTTTAACGTTTGAGTATTTTTCATGGCAAACTTATTTACTTTATTTAATATATTTTTCACAGTCTGCCAACTTAAATATTTCGTTTTTTATTATTATTGGACAATTAGAAAATAACTATGATTGTTTTAGGTTCATATACGCCGTCAGCAGAATCAGATAGCCTGTGCGGAGATAGCGGTTATATGAGCTTACCGATAAGAGCAGCTCTACCCTTGATGACGGGTGCGCCGCCGTCGCCTGGACCTGTCAGGTTGATTATTCTTTAAAAACTAGAGTGTTTAATATTTTATTACTTATAGACCAAAAACTAGAATTTTAATAACGGCATTTCAAAAGATTTGGTTTGTTCCTTTAATTTTGTGAGTAGTGTATATAGAGAATGACTTCCCGTGTACAGTTCTGCGGGCGAGGGCAGCGTGGCGGAGGGCGGCGGCGTGGCGTGGGGCAGCGAGGCGGGCGAGGAGCGGCGCTACGCCGCGCTCATGGAGCGGCTGCACCACCACCAGGCCGAGCGCGGCTCGCACACCGCGCACGTGCAACTCAGGTACGGTGATTCAGTGGTTTGCCGAGCACCGGCATGGTCGCACGTTAGTTCAATATTCATACGCACTGACGGCAAATAGGATAGGATCGCATAAGATCGAAAACTCCTTTTTTTTCATACTTAAAGGGAAAAAATACAACTTCAAGTTCATTAGTAGAGGCTTACCTCTAGTTTTCAATGAAGTAATAAAAATATAAGCAATTAATAGGTAAATATGTTAGTGCGTAGCTCTGAGCAACCTGAATTGCATTTTATTGTATGGAAGCAGACCCGATTATTTATTAATAACGACCTTTGCTTCCTGTTGGGATGAGTTGAGATTCTGATGATTTTATGTATTTTGCGGCATAGCTTCGTTACTATCAAGATCTCAACTCTCTAATAAACACTATTCAATTTTAGTAAACAGATAACCCATATTAAACCCTTAAAAAGACAGAAAGTTTTATCAACCCTTACAGGTACTACTTACAACTAATGACGGAAGCGAGCTGCGTAGAATGGGCTGTGGTTATAGCCGTTGTTCTACGCGACGCGCTCGCGGTGCTACGGACTACGAATGCGGCGCGAGGTAATGACGTCAGCCTCGATGCGGTTCGTCGCTTGAGGCGAACGCTACAAGATATATGTTCGTGGACTGATGCTGAATGGTATGTTTTTTATTTACTTATTGTGCAATCCTGAAATATATTTTAAATGAATCGTAACCAAAGTTGTGAAATAACATTATTGTTTATAGCTTAATTTTTTTCACGTGCAATAGTAAAATTTCTGCACATACCTAATTATCTATCATCATCATCTCAGCCAAAAGACTCCACTGCTGCTCATAGGCTTCCCCCTAAGTTCACCAAAACAACCGGTCCTGTGCTGCCGGCATCCAACGACTTTTCTCGAACTTCACCAGAACCTAATATGATAACTTATCTCATAAAAATAATGTTTTTTTTTAAATGGGTGTTCCTGGAAAACATCTTATAACTATAAAAAGTATTATAACAATTTGTGTGTTTATCTCTTTCCAGCCTTGGTTATAAACCCTTCATGATGGCGATTAGTAATCAAATCCCCTTCCTAACATCTATTATCAACTCCCGGGAGCGACGCCTTTCCATGTCGAAAACTCGGGTGAGAACATCCAGCACAAGCTCGATAGGCCAGGAGACGAAGCCAAAACCACAAAATCAGGAAGCTAAGTTACACCTTCACCCACCACCACAGAAAGCAGAAGTATCTAAGCAAGGAAGAAAGGATTCAAGTAGTGTAGCAGAACCTTTATCTAACATTGTGATTCCCCCACCAAGACCGTCGCCCCCACCACGAAATGACGTTTCAACAGGTTGTGCCATAATGTAAAATTTCGACTTCGGTTCAACTTGCGTTTCGTTTTTTTTTCTAAACGTATTGATAGTAGTTATGGTATAGAGATTTCTTTCTTAGATAGATATTAAATAAGAACTTTGTTATGTGTGGATTTCGTCGTCTTTACAATACGGATCAGAACGCGGACAAAATACTAAGTGACTAATAATTGCAAACTGTAATAGAATGTTTCTATAATTTAAACTGTAGGAATAGGAACTACAAGCTTAAAAAAAGTTGTCCTAACTTTTTTTAATATGTAGGTGTTGTTCATACAAAATTTTGAATTTTTCATAATTACATTGTACCATACCACATTAAAATTAGTACGACACATATATTCATATACTTTTACATACATCTATTGTAAAGTCCACGTGTTTTCTTATACATTACTATTTTCTCGACATGTTTCCTAATCACTTCTATCTTACATTTAATTGTAAATACATAATTAGGTATAAATTAAAAGAATCTTTATTGTAAGTGACTTTTGCAAAACTTATGAAAAATATTATGATCATTTTGGTGCTGACAACACTTGTATACAATTATCTAAAAAAAAAAATTATACCAACAAATAATTATAATTATTTATTACCCATTTTAGAATCGCACTTTTTCATTTAATGTTATATAATGTGTGTAATTTAAATATGTTATGATAAATTTTAGACTGTGGCCTGGTATTTTAACTTCTTATTATTAGACCGTAATAAAAGACCGTGATACCAAGCGAATGAATGATTCCTTCTGATACATTGAATGTGTAAATGTGTTTACATAAGTATTGAGTGGCCTGTTGGTCTAGTGGTTAATGAACCTGACTGCTACTCCAGAGGTCGTGGGTTCGATTCCCACCCAGGACAAATAATTGTGTGATAAGCACGGTCTTCCGTGTGGTGACGGATTAAGAATACAGAGTGTCACCACCCCTATTCATCCCGTGGGTGTCGTAAGAGCCGACTAAGGGAAATAACTACGCAGGACAACACCACTGCAGAGAAAAGGTAAACTTGACACAAACCCTATACCAACCCGTCTGGCCAGCGTGGTATAGTAGGCCAAAACCTCCTTCCCAAGGAGAGGCCTATGTCCAGCAGTGGACTAGTAAAGGCTGTTGATGATGATGATGATGATGATGATGATGATGAAGCACGGTAATTTGTTCTGTGTCCGGTTGTAATTTATCTATAAAATGTATGTATTTAGAAATATAAAAGTATGTTTATTAGCAGTCGGGTTACCATAGTACAGGCTCTACTTAGTTTGCGATCAGGCGGCCGTGTGTGAGATATGTGAAAATATTATTATTATTATATGTCCGGTTAATTTTCTTTGTATGTTTCGTGATACCATTGCGGTTTGTAGAAAAAAAAAGTGATGATTATTTATTATTAACATTTTATTTATTTATTTACTATTAACAGGGTACCTATTTGAATGATAATGAACAATACACAATAAAATGTCATAGACGTATTGTGTAGTGAATTTTATTAAATTAGTTATAAAGTTTTATGATAAGGATAACAGTCCTTGGTTATTCCGCATTACTTTTATCTTTCATGCTTTATATCTTATTATTTATATATTTATATATTTAGTATCATCATAATCCCCCTTTCTCCAGGTCACAGGTTAGAAAAATTAAATTAAAATGTATTTCTATTTTCAATATTGTACTTATTTATAAATATAAATAAATTAGTTATTAATAGTTAATATAAAATTATCTCGTAAATTATTTGTGAGTGAAATTATTACTGTGTTCGTTGATATTGTTTGTATAGACTTGTCTTCCTTTCGATATTAGTATCAATTTATTATTTAGTGTTACGTCGTTCCTTGTAAGCAGATTTATACTTAATATACATTTGTATGTAGGTAGGCGAGTGGTAAAGCTAGAATGTTGTCGAAAAAAATAAGACAAGATATCATTTTTTTTTTTACTACTAAGGTCAAAAAGACATGTCCCTTTGGTAGTAAACTCTGATAACCCTTCTGCTTAGTACAACACTTAAATTTTTTTAAATGCTATTTACTGTACAGCTGAAGATGTACTTTGAAGTAATTTTACTACGCCTGTATCTCTATTGCACTATAGCTTTCAGTTCACCGCCTTCCGCATGCAACTTTAACACACACTTTAACCATCTTCTTCAGGTCGTTGGTCTATCAGCCTATGTATATCTCAAGCGAAAAAATATTTATTAGCCACCTCACCTTTTCACTGTGTTACACTTTCTGGATGCAGTTTGCATGGATTTTAAGAAGAATCCCATACTTTTTTCATTTTCTTATTGTTATTACAACACTATCTGTCAACATTTTCTTTACAGATGCCGTATGGATTGAAGATTTAGATAAGTACTAACAGTACAAGTAGATTTAGAATAAATACTTTTAACCGTAATATTATTTAATTTATTGATTAAGTTATTTCGTCTATGTGGACCTTGTAAAAGCAATAACTTTACAATTAAGTACCGTAGTGTATTTTGATCATTGGAAATATTGAAATTTTTTTTTGATGCTAAATGGACAATCTCATTGTTTTACTTGTTAATTGTAACACCACTATTTTGCTTCAGACCGAGTACTTGTGACTTTATGTCGTAAGCTGACAGTTGACCAGTAAAGTTATGACAATCATTCGTAATATAAACAAATATAAATAATAATAAAATAAGCAAACCTAGAAAGTCCTTATAAAATCCGTTTCATATGATATTATATTGTGACGTAATATGTGAAGAAAGTGATTTCATTACTTAATAGTTTTCAAATTAATTAATCTTCAGTACCGTCACAATAAGATCTTACTGCTCAATTATGGTAAATTTTTAAAGTATTACTATAGAATTCATATAGAATAAGTTTCATTTTATAAATACTACATAGAATTCGTTATTGTTAGTCACAGCACTGTTCATTGGACGCTTTTATGATTTTGCACGATAACGTCACGTTGTTTGGATAGAATTGTAATGAGCGAATGATACGTTCTTAGAATAAGAGCTCTCATACCCAGTCAAATTAAGATTCTACCTGGGTTTGAAGGTTTATAATCTGGCAACTCGTATAAATCTTTATTTAACTATTCTACAAGTTGACTCAAATGTATTCTAAAATCTCGTGTAGGAAGTCGCAAGTTCATAAAAATGTTATTTTTTTAAAGATTCCGAAGAAGCTTTTTATAGCGCTAATGAGGTTGACTCGCTGTTTGACTTGACTGGGCTTTTATACATGTTTTTTGTATATAAAGTTTCCACACGCTAATTTTTACGAGAGCCTTAACGTGAATGTGTTCTGAGGGCTAGTGCGAGTTTATTTCATATCATCGAATAGTGAAGAGTTCAGTGCCGGCCACCGTGACGAACGAGTTTCATGTGAAATAAATTTCAACTAGGCCCTCTGACGAGCCGTGACAAAACTATAATTGAGCGACCACACGTTATGAAACCACACTAAAACATCATCAGCTTTAATTCGTTTCCCGCCATGTAGGTGCCAATTGTTCATAATTGTATTCTGAATATCATTTAAAAAATATTTTCATATATGTTTAAATGCCGATTAGTACAAACATTAGATTTTGTTGTGACCATAATAAAGTTTTACAAATTTTATTTTATAAGAGTTAACATCTTTATTGTATTTAAGTTTTATTTTTCTTCAAATGATATTAAGTAGTTAGTTATTATGAATTGCATTGCAACCATGCATATGAATTAAGGGTAAGAACTTAAGGTATCTTTATATACGTCGATATCAGTAATCTATCTCGTGATGATTTGTCGATTAATGTACCATGTTTATGCAAGTGAATATTTTCATCAGACCTTAAAGTACACTATTTACATACGAACCCAAAACCCCACTTATCCTGGGTGTAATTATTACGCCATTTCAATCATATTTATTGTATTTATTTTGCAACTAAACATTTCATTCCAAATCATCTTTATGATAGAATATACTAACAAAATTTCTACATTCCTTATTGTAAGATTAGTTATATATTTAGGTCAATTATTAAATGTTTGTAAGTGAGTTTTACTTGTGGATCATTATTTTTTCAATTCATCTAATATTCATACCGGTGCTAACATAGTTCGTAGAGCCAAATATTGTGGTTGGTGTAATATTACTTTATATCTAAGTTACGATAATATAAGTTTGAATGTCACAAATATTTTGCTGTGTTTCGTATAGGTCGTAAACTTAACAATGGTGTCATAGTGGTCCCTTTTGTAGAAAAAAAAACCACTTAGCATCCGAAAAAAAATTAAGTTTGCGAGGAATAAACTATTAAACCAATTTATCGATTAACCTGTTTGTTACAAAAAATAGTAAAAATATATACATATAGTATATATTTTTACTATTTTTTTTGTCAAGTTAACTACTTAAAGGGTTAAAGGGTGTACCCCTTTACACTGTATTATGTTATACCTAATTAGAAACAAAATATTTGTTGCCTTCAAACGTTTTATGGTAATGCCTGTTCGTTACAGTGCTGAATAATTAATATGCAGCTTATGGTAAGCGGGTACCATAACCTATGGGCGCTTGCTATTCCAGAGGACTCGCATGCACGTAGCTGGCACTTTAAAGCCAGAGCGATATCGGGCGAATATGTCTCCTCCTAAAACTAGAAAAATGACCTGCGTTGAATGCGGCCGTAGGCATTATAATAATAATGAAAATGAAATTGTTTTATCATAATGAAATATCTATTGAGCACTATAGCGACGAGTATTCCTTTTCTTATTTATTTAGAGTTTTTGGCGTTGTAATTTTGTAACAAAATTGTCAATTTGGTGTTTAAAAATTATAAAGTAAATAATTATTCCTGCTGTTTTATTGCGCTTGGAGTAAGTTTTTTACTTGTGGTTAACTTCAAAATAAAAAAATGTCGGTACCTAAATATTTGAGTTAATTTATATAGTACACAAAAAACACAACATTGTAAAAGTTGATTAATTTCCCAATCCATGATATCTAAATACAAAATTAATTAATAAGTTATGCCTGTGTGACAATTAATATTAATAATTTCACATATCTCACACAGCAGTCTGATCCCAAATTAGGCAGAGCCTATACTATGGTAACCACTGACTGATGTGTTGATCTATGACTTGAGTCTACATAAAGGGCGATTTGAAACATTTTTTTTTATGAAATAAAGATAGTTTAAGTTTGCTGATAAACACACTTATAATAATAGATATGAATGTACATAGGCGGACTTCATGCCTTTTTTTTTTTTTTTCTTCCCTTGCGGAAATCCCCTCGGATACCACCTGTCGGTGGCATGTCGGACTCGAACCGACTAGCACGCCGTCTCGGGTACAGGTATACCCTAGAAAGGAAGTCATACGACATACCTCGGGTCATCTACAGACGAGTAGACGACCCCCCCCCCCGTGTGGGAACCCCATTCCCCATTCCCTGTGCTCCCTGGAGGCGAGCGCGCTTCGCAACGCGCTCGCCGCCACCCCGGCCTGCTTCTGCTAGGGTGACAGATGGCCTCACCTGTCACCCCCAGGCCTGCGCTTATGGAGGACGGAGGTCGTTCTGCGACCTCCGGCGCCTGAGTCGCCTGCGGTGCCTGGCCCGTTCCCGGGCCTGGAGGGCCGGGAGAGTCCTAAACCTCTCCCGGTCCCCCCGCTCCGCCGTCTCCTTCTGCGAGCAAGTTATGCTCGCGAAGGAGACGGCGGAGTTCCACGCACTCTCGCTCCGCACGATAGCCGCAATCAGGCTATCGAGCGAGAGAACTCCCACTCCGATGGCCGCCACGAGGTCTCGCCTCTGCTCAACCCACGCCGGGCACTCTGCCAGCGTGTGGAGAGCCGTGTCCACGGTCTGGCCATCGCAGTGGTGGCACTCAGGCGTTGGCTCCTTGCGGATCAGACACAGGTGATCCCCGAAACATCCTTTCCCAGTGATCACCTGCGTCAGTCGGTATGAGAGGGTCCCGTGACGCCTCTCGAGCCAATCCTCCATAACGGGTCTTACCGCCGCGATGATGGCGTGCCCGGGGACTTCATGCCCTGGGTATTCCAATAGCTAAACTTTGAATGGTGTAGAAATCTTGTAAGGTAGGTGCAAATGACTGTACTCATCACACAATATTGTCCTGGGGAGGAATCGAACTTACGAACTTCTGGTTTCACAGTCAGGGTCACCAACACTAGACCAACAGGTGGGTCATCACAATTGACAGCCACAATGCGGCAGTCGGTGGACGGAATGGTGTTTTCGCTACACAAGCTGAACGAGTCTTAATCTTATCATCTACTTCTGATGAATGCAGAATCTATCTGCTCCTTTACAGTGTGCTTTGGAGTGTAGACGTAAGGAGAGTCATCTTATAGTATGGAAATTGTCCGTCGAAAAATAAGAAATAATCAAGGAAAGAAAAACATTTTGAATTATCCATTACAGTCCTTACATGTCTTTGCCCTTTCTAACAGTTCAGGTTGAAAGTTAAAAAGGCAAATGGCAAAGAATTTTTCACTATCATCTCTCTACCAGGTACGAACCCTCTACATTTATAAAAAAAGTGTTTTCCTACTACACACAAAACTACAACCCTGAACCAAATAAAGTTATTAATTCACCAGGTTCAGGTAAATTAAAACAACCAAGCCTTCGTGGTAGATGGTACATGTATTTGGTCGACATCTGTTTTGTTGCTTGCGATTGTTATGATTCAAAATTCGAACGTAATGAAATATAGATTGTAAATATGATGATATAAATGTCAATTAAATCTATTCAAGTAATTTAGAAAAATAAAATATTTTCAAGGTGTGTTTTATAAATATAAATTAATACAACCGTTATTATAGTTATCTGTAGATGATTCTCTGTGGTAGTGTACGTGACATCACCTGAAAAGTCAAACAATAGCGTTGACAACACTGAAACGAGCTGTCAAGACGTTTTACCTCTGAGAGAATGTAGAAACAATTGATTTTACACGTTTTATATAGTTGTTTTTCTGAGATTATTTACTTTGTTTATGAAGATTCAATATATAGCCGTTTAACTGTCACATGATGGCAGCCGCGGCTCAAAGCGATTTATCGATCGCGGAGCTGAAGGCGGAGATTGAGAGGCTTGGCCGCGAGCTTGACCAGGCCAGCAGCGAGAAGATACAGTCGGCGCAGCTGGGTCTGGTACTGCTCGAGGAAAAGAGTTCACTGCAGCAAAGATGCGACGAACTCGAGAGCCTTTACGAGAACACAAGGCACGAGCTGGATATCACACAAGAGGTTAGTGGCCTACATATTGTTCTTTTCACTCTTCATGCATTAATGGATACATTAAAACGTGCCGAAACGGACGTTATAAGTGGTTTATATTAAATTCACATTGTGCACTACTTTCAAAAGTCACAAGTGGAAATTATTAGTATAACCTACTTATACCACTAGCTTTTTTTATCTCATATTGCACTCATCTATTTATTGTTATCATTATTCAATAATAACGTTCCATATCCTATTTAATATATTCAGAAACCTCTTTTCTAAGGAGAGGCCTATGTCCACTACTAAATGTTAGGACTACTAAAGGCTGTTGATACTGATGACATTCAAAAATCTTTATTTAAAAGTTTTTAAGTAATGAGAATTTGTATTAACTTTTTCAATAATAAATTTAGTCGTAATTTATTTTATTAACCGAAAAGATATTAGTCATTAGCAACAGAAGTTTTTGTTTGCAACACAATGCACTTTAAAACTTTTAAAGTTAATTATTTATAATTATACCAAGAGTCATTATATGTATTCTATCTGTATAGAGTACTATTTTATTGCTTAGTTAAAAAAGTATGGTATTAATATGTTGCTTTTACTGCTTCTACACAAATGCATCAATCGAGTCACTATAAGATAGATATACTAGGCCTAGTGGTTAGTGACCCTGACTGGTAAGCCAAAGGTCATGGGTTTGATTCCCACCAAGAGCAAATATTTGTGTGATGAACATGATTAAATGTGCTGTGTTTGGGTGTAATTTATCTATGATATGTATATTTTTAAAAATTATAAGTATGTTTATCAGCAGTCTGGTTACCATAGCACAGGCTGTGCCTACTTGGTCACCAGACGGCCGTGTTTGAGATGTGTGAGGTTATTATTATCACTTGGTCATATTACACATTACTACCTAGACATAAATTAAACAGATCTGGTATGTCATCGTCATCAACAGAATTTACTAATTCACAGCTGGACACTGGCCTCCTTAGAAATTTGGTTTGGTCTATCTTGTATTTAGGTTTCTAGAACTTGGATAAACATATGTCATACATAGAAAAGTCTGCAATGAGTGGGCTTTGATTTGCAACCACTGCTATTGCCATGGAATGTATTAAAGTTATGCCATAGGAGTCAACTCATATTAATAGATTCCAATTCGTTTAATCCAGATACTAAAGTTTCTTTTGTTCCGGTACCCTTGCTTTTTATCTACCCAAATTAGTTGAGCAGATTTTAAACCTCTAAATAAGTAAGAAAAAATCCAATACAATCACTATTCGCAAGATTATAAACATGATATAAAGTTTGATAGGCTGAAAGACATTGTTTCCAAGAGCAAAGCCTACTGAAAAACTAATCTATCATAGTGATTTAAAGTGGCATCAGACATTAGGTTATTGGGATTTTCAATGTTATGCATTGTGTAAGTGCAGTGCAGTGCAGTGAAATCGCTCGTAACTACAAGAACTTATAGGCATTTGTTATTGCTCACAATCAGATAAGCTGCATGCTTCTGCTATTTACATTAAATGCTACTTTAATTATTGGCCTTTATTACGTTAATGAGTATGAACTACTATGTTTTTAATAAACTTTCCTTGTTATAACATGTTTAGTTTGTAAAACTGCTCTATAATTTGAACAGCTACCGACCCTTCACCAGAAACAAACTTTAAAATTACTTTGATGGTATGAGTCATTAAAATGTTTCCTCATGTTATTTCAAAATTTCTACACACTTACTAAAAGTTATGAATTAAATTACCATCTCACACTTTCCTATTGCTAACTTGGCAAAACATAAAATCTCTCTTTATATGGCTAATTATTTATTCATTACTTCTAGTAGACAGTGAGTAATAAACCTAATGAATTTTTAAGATGTGAATGACTAACTTTTAAATTACGTACTCCGTACCTTCATTACAATATAATTAATATTATAATGAACGAATTAAAAAAAAAAACTTAGCTAAATTATGTGTTGTAATTAACTAAAAGTTGAAAAATGAGTTTTAAATTTTACTAATATTATAAAGGCGAAAGTTTGTATGGGTGTTTGTTACTCTTTCATGCAAAAACAGCTGAACAGATCGGGATGAAATTTGCACATAGACTGTTCTTTAATCCCCGTGAAATATAGTGTTCTCATGGGATGAGCAAGGTACACCAACACCCGCAGGGTACAGCTAGTATAATATACATGACTTTAGAAAAACTGCTATGTCAATATTATTCTAATCAAATATTTTGTGTAGAATTAATACATATTGTGATTTTATTTTGTATATTTTCTTGCAAACATTAAAAAAGATTTGTGATTTGCAGAATATTGACCAGATGTGGTTTTAGGACCATTTAGGAATATTCCTGATTGATTCAATTAAAACTCTAATAATTAAACTCTTAAACAAAAAACGAGTCATGTATTTTCAATGTATTCTCCTACTAGTAGGAGTAACAGAAAGAATTCTTTTTACCAAAGAATAAGATAACTTACACCATTTTAATGAAATAAACATAAAAGTCTAATAGAAAACGGGAGGTTCGGTGCGGTTCCTAAATATTTTATTATGATTTGTTTCTTGAAGTGAGTGTGCATACATTTAGTAAGTAATGACTACCAGCTATTAAGGAAAATTGTATGAATCTGTAATTTATTATTAAACTACTTTTATTTTCCTTGTTACCAGGCACTTATGAAACTAGATACAACTCAGAAGGTAACAACAAGAAGTGGAATAGAACAAGAAAATGCTCTTCTCAACGAGTCGGCTGCTATGGAAAGCTCCCTCACCCTCCAAATATTGGAGCTGGAGAGTGAGAGCAAACAGGTAACTATACTTATCTTTGTACTACCTGAACCATGTTCCTAAAAATAATTATATTTATATTTCCTAAAAATATCGATAAAGCTTTATTATCTACAATGTTACTTATCAAATCTACTTATTCGATTTAAAAATAATTATGTGAAACTATAAAAATAATTATGTGAAACTATTTAGGAAGGTCGTGAGAAATGCTAAGCGAAATGCGGTATCAAAACAAATAAATAACGCCAAAAATAACAGTAAACAAATATGGCAAGTTGTAAATCGACATAGAAATAAAAATAATAATAAAGTTATGAAAAAGCTAATTATAAAAACCAATGAGAAAATAGTTGACAATCCTAAAGAATTGGCAAACTTATTCGCCAGGCAATTTAATTATACACCCACGTCAGAAAATAATAATCAAAATCAGGCAAGATTTTACCTTCAACAAGGCTCTGATAAGGTAACTAATGAGATGACGTTAACTGCTGTTACACCTGATGAAGTCATAAAGATTGTGAATGATATGCCGAATAAAAATTCTTGTGGCTTTGATGAATTGCCAATATCGGTAGTAAAGGAGCATATCGCGATCTTAGCTTTACCTCTGTCTCATTTTTATAATAAATGCTTTGAAAATAGCATCTTCCCAGAACAATGGAAAATAGCAAAGATTATACCATTGTACAAAAAGGGCTTACAAACCGACCCTAAAAATTACAGACCGATTTCTGTGTTACCTACACTCTCGAAAATATTTGAAAAGCTAATTAAAAGCCGTCTCACTAGCCATCTGAATAATAACATAGTTTTAAATCGGCGACAATTTGGATATCAAAAAAGTATCGGTACGACAGATGCTATCAATACCTTAATTAATAATGTCATAGAAAATATTAACAAAAAAGTCAAGGTGGCTGGGATCTTTCTGGATTTGAGTTCCGCTTTTGACACAGTGGATTATGAACTGCTTTTCATTAAAATGGAACATTATGGAATAAGGGGCAATGTTTTAAAGTTATTTAAATCATATTTAAAAAATAGAAAGTTTTATGTAGAAATTAAGGAGGTAGGAGAAAACAATTGTCAAGAAGTACACCGATCACAACTTTTAAATGTCAGGAAGGGCGTACCGCAAGGTTCCATATTAGGGCCTACTTTGTTTACACTTTTACAAATGACTTACTATCCTATTTGAGCGTAAAAAAGCCAGATGTTAAACTCACGGTTTTTGCAGATGATACAAACGCTGTGATTAGTGCAAGTAACCTAAGTTCCTTAAATGTAAAAATAATTGGCGCACTAGAAACTTTTCAAGATTGGTTTGCAGTTAACAAGCTTACAGTTAACACAAAAAAGACAAACCTAATCTTATTTAAATCGACAGCTAGTAATAACGATAGATTAGACGTTATGATTAATGGAGAGAGATTAGAATTCGTGAATTCTGTTAAATTCTTGGGGGTTCATATTGATGCATTGCTCAATTGGAAAGAAGAGATAAAATCTATTGACACCTCAATCTCTTCAGCATGCTATGCAATTAGGAGCCTTCGAGAAGTAGTAGAAATAAATATCCTAAAATCCGTTTACCATGCGCTAATAGAGTCAAAGTTCAGATATAGTATACAACTGTGGGGAAATAGTTACGCTTATAATATAGAGAGGGCGTTCATTTTACAAAAAAGAGCTATAAGAACTATAGTCCGCATTCCCCAAATAGAATCATGTCGAGAACATTTTAAAAGTCTTGGACTATTGACGGTGCCTTGTTTGTATATATTGACAACATTGTGTTACTTATCCAAATATATGCACGAGGTTGAAACCCACGAAGAGAGGTTAGTTAGAGAGAGCACGTGGAGGAAACATATTCAACATACAATAAACCCTAGAATGAATATAGCTCGGCACTGTGTTCAGTATCAATCCATTAAACTTTTTAACTGTTTACCGGAAAGCATAAAAAGCGTAATTTATAGGACTTCTTTATTTAAACGAAAACTTGGAGCCTTCCTGTTGGAAAATAACTATTATTCCATCAATGAATTTATCAATCAAAATATATGCAATGAAATACTTAATAACTTATGTAATAATAATAAATATTGTGAATAATATTCTTGAATCATGAAATGCCTTAATATAATTTATCGTTTTTTTTTGTATTCTGCATGACATATTGTAAAATCTATCAAATTTATTTGTTTTTTTTTTTTTTTTGATTATTATGTTATTTATATTTTTGTTTTAATTTTTAAATATTTTTGTATTACGGCGAATTGTTATACATTCAAACACAATTATATTATTGTTTGTGAAAATAAATGAACAAAAAAAAAAAAAAACTAACTATCAATACTTTAATAGATGGCTGATAAAATACTCTTTTATAATACTTAAGTTTAAAATAATTGGTTCTTTAGTCAAACTAATGCAACTTTATGTTAATGCACCCTGGATTCAGAAATTCATAAGATCTTTAAAATACTTGCTCATTTATATTAGTTACAAATAGGCATTTCTCCATTTAATAAAAAAATAACATTAAAATGCTACGAAAAGTACCTAAAGTAAAGACTATGCTGTGTATGATAAACAGTAAACAGCACAGTTCGTAGAGCGGAACATCCTCCTCCGAGCCTTTTTTCCCAAACCAGGTATGGGTTTGCTTTGTCTATACTATGATTTGATTTTTTACACGGAGCGACTGCCATCAGACCTGCACAACCCAAGTAGGTACTAAGCTGAGCAAGAGCGTTGTCGGACTTTTTAGGGCTCTACACGAAACGATTGCCACAGATGTTCATTTGACATCCCGGAAAAACGGCTGACGGGCTCTTCGATCACCCAACCATATACTTACCTGGCTAGCATTACTTAACTTTGCAATGTGTTAACCTAATCGGTTACCACGTAGCCACGAGCCCCCCTCTAAACGGTTTGAAAATGTATAAGTACCTACTAAAGAGAGAAAAGACAAACTTTAAAAAATCGACCCTTACGATGTAATGGGAAGTATCGGCTGCATCACCAAATATGTTATCCTAAACCAAAAGATATTGTTTTTCAACCGACTTCAAAAACACAAAAGAGGACGATCTCAATTCGACTGTATTTTTTGTTCGTTCATTCGTATTATATGACAAGGAGTTAGGCTTGAAAACGAACCAAACAAAGTCACTTCTAATATATTTTCTAATATACTAGTTAAGATTATAAAGTAGATATTTTATTAACAATAATAAGTTTAATGCATTATTTGTACAGAAAAACCTCACCCAAGAATAAATATGAATTTGTTGTTGTGTTAGTTCAACCGATAATGTATGATAGAAATCCACGTAGCTACCTAGCGTTAGGCTTATACATGGTGCTGTATAATTTCAAGTACGTGAATCATTCACGTCAACTGATAAGAAAAAACAATCAGGCGGGCTGAAATCACTGCGCGAAAATAATTCATTTACGGTGATAAGCACTTACATTTTCAGTATCAACACAATGCCCTATACGACGTAGTCTAGCAGAGTATGAATCCAGCTGAGTATCAAATAAGGACCGGCATCGCATTATCTTATTAAACTATTTTCCCGAGAGCCATCTGACACGTATGCCTACGATCAGTTTAATGAAATGGGAGCAATTGGAATGAATCATCCGTGGACCCTCGGAGCAGTACGCGCGAAACGCCCCTACATAACACACTGAACACTGTAACTCTATAAATATTATTAATTTACTTCAATAATATTTCTACTGTAGTGTATTATTCGTACATCGTGTATGAATATCAACGGTGCAGTGTGATACAGGCGCGAACCATGAGACCTCTGTCGTCCGTGATGTAATGCTCGGAATGGCGTAAGCGCAGCCGTCGGGAATCCATAACAGTGATCCAGAAATACATTTTTATTTGCCCGGCCTTGATTCACATATTCACGCTTTACTCAATGGTGTGTAGATTTTTAGCAATGCACTCATATTTAGTGCGTTAGTGTATTTTGAATTATGCAGAATATTTAGTCCGAGTGCCAAGTGGTGTGTGTAAATATGCTATAAGTTTAAGTGCACGCGGCCTCTTGCAGAATCACAAAAATGAATGACGGAGTCAAGGTATTGTTTAGTGTTTATCTGGTATTCGGTCACAAAAGTTTTGGTACGCAATTCTAATGTTTCACGGAATAAGTGTTGACACTAATAATGGGATATTGTTGATATTTGTTTAGATGCTGGCAGCCCGCCAGTGAGAAATATACGGCTAGCTTTTATCTCCATTTATGGGTTTATCGGTATAAAGTCGCTCTTCGAAGTTTATGGTTCGCATTAACATAACTTATGAATTGATTCTATACCGTCCTTTTATGTTTTGAGATATTGGCTCGATTTTCTATTGGGAAAACTATTCTCACAAACGACATTATTGAACTCAATTGAGATTTATGATTGTGGCTTTCATTTGAAAATAAAGCAATCGTTTTTAAGTTTACAATAGACGGTAAAACTTAGCTAAGACCGTCATGGTAGTACATACTTTTCGTAGGATCACATAGTGTACAAAATAATTTATTAAATGCAACTAAAATTAAACTATTAAGTTAATCATTAAGTCACGTAGCAGACAATAAAATTACTAGTTTATGCGTAAGTGTTGCAAGGCCAGGTCGATTTTGTTATCACCTGATTTGTGTACAATACCTGACTCACTGATACCGTCACGTTACTGGCTGCACTGGCTCATTGTATATTATTTGTTGAGCCAAATAGAGGACTGATATCAAAAAGACTGCCATATTTGGAAAAATAAATAAATAATTTCCTTATACTTTGAAAATATATTATGTTTTTTTGAGGAAATGATTTATTTGATGATATCGCCACTGATGAGCCACTGCCATTCCATCGCCACTGTAAAGACACCGAGTTAGTGTAGACTACCGATATTTATACCGATGCCAATGGCCACTCGATGCCATCTCAATAGCGTGTCAGTGGTATGACAGTGGCTTGGCGTG